CTCGGTGAGATAAGAGATAACGCTAGATTCCTCTTGTCGGCCTCTGTGGCACCAAATGGGGTATGTCTAGGATTCTCATCTCCGATGTCGATGTCTGGCGGCATGTATTGTGTCTATTATGATTGTGCGTGTCCTTGTCTCTCCCTAAGGGGTCTTGTATTTATACCCACAGATATCCCCTTTCCCAAATATAACTAGGAAGATAAGTATGGATACAATCCGCTTAGTCCTTGTAGTTTTCAACTTGAACTCTGCTTCTTCTTCCTTATCTAGAACACCTTTCGTATACGAGGCATGATTTCGTATAGGACCTGGTATATAGTAGGCCCCACCGAGCTTAACCCAAAACTTGGGTATGCCTTATCCATAACACTGACATGGAGTTATGCCAAACAGTATAGATTCTTTTTTTTTATCGTTTTTTTTAGCGGAATAAGCAGAGTTGCTTCACTAAATTGTGGAGCTAGGTTTTTGCCAGTCCACCGCTCCACTCCATCCCAAAAGACCCACTACCCTTTATTTTTTTCATGTATTTATGCAATATGCCACTAAACTACCCTTTCACACCCCTCACTACCCTTTATTTTTTTCATGTATTTATGCAATATGCCACTAAACTACCCTTTCACACCCCTCTCCTCCTGTTATGTCTCTCCGGTGGTGGCAGCCGTTACGTGGCGCGGCTGCTATGTGGCCCGCAAGGGCAGCAGGGTGACGAGCGGTGGTGCGCGGGCCGAGCATTGGCGGCATCAGCAAGGTGGCGCGCGGGGGTGTCGGCCTCAACATCTATAGGGCAGTGCGTGGCGACATCGGTTGGGTGGTGCGGCTGGTCGGCGCGCGAGGGCAGCGGTGCAGCGGGTGGCGACTCGCGGCTTGAGTGTTAGCGACATTGGCAACGCTGTGCGTGGGGATGCCAGTGTCGATAGGGAAGCGCGCGGGCTAAGCAGCAGCGCACGACGACCGTGTTGGTAGGATCGCGGGACGCCAACTAGAATTTCGACGAAATGGCGACGCAGGACGTGGTGATGTGGAGATGATAAATCTAGCCGAACTCTTTCATACCCACTTCCAGCTCCTATAGGAGTCAGCTCTCAATGAAATTAGAGTTTAGTGTTGAGAGTTGGAGTTTGGATACTTATCAAACGGGACCTTTGTATTGTGAATAGCTCAACGTTCGGCCTTTCGGTATTGGACCGAGGTAGTTATCTGGGGAGCGGAAAAATATATCACACGAATGCCTAGGCCCAAAAATATTGAAGCATGACCAGGCTTAAGCCCAGACCAACGGTGAGTTGGGCTGAGATGGGCTAAATTTGGGCTCTGGCTGGGTAGCCGTGCCATTTTCCTTTTCTACTCATAGTCAGCTCAGCCTACCTAATTTTTTTTAACATATTATGTAGTTGATTTTTTAATTCGTTTGGTTATATTCGTATTCTCTATAAATATTAGTGTGCATAGACAAACATATACTCCCTCCGTATTTTAATATATGACGCCGTTAACTTTTCTATCAACGTTTGACCATTCATTTTATTCAAATTTTTTGTGCAAACATGAAAATATTTATATCATGCTTAAAGAACATTTGATGATGAATCAAATCACATTTATGGAGTCAACGGCATTAGATAAAAAGTCAACGGCGTCATACATTTATGGAGGTAGTATATTAGACATATTTTAAAGTACTTTTGATGATAAATCTAGTGGTGTTCTTTTCACTTTCTATAATGATAAATAATTATAAAATATTGTTAGTTGAAGTTCACAAGGAAAAAGTCAACTACCTAATGCACTAAAAAAGTTTAGTATGTCAATAAGCACTGATAATAAAATTAATGGTCCATATAATAGTTCCATGTAAAATTGTTTTTTTCTTTTGCGTTTGAGTAATGCAGAAGAAAACGTGCATTGTCAATAACTCAGCTAGTCATGTGTCAAACAATAATAGAACAAGAACGGTTCGCTAGGTTAGCCGCGTGTCAAACCATAATTCATCCCACGTCGGATCCATGTCATCAGGTTGTCCACATGGCAGTACTGGGGCAGCCGGTTTGTGACGATTTTCACTGAATCAATGACGATTTGGAACATCATTAAGTTATGACGACGACAAAAAAATGACATCCATTTTGGTAAGGATGTCCTTTTTAATCATAGTAGGTAATCCTTAATGAAACTTCTACAATGGCAGCCTTCCATCACATCACAAGGTCGTCATAGAACATGACTTATGATGGAATTTTGCTGGTTCTGGATGAAAGTGCCTTATCAAGTAAGACCAGAACCATTGTAGAGCAAATTAGACAACCGATGATACGGTGCGTGAGCAAGAGGCAACATGGAGGACGCGACGGACCAGTTCACGAGCGTGGAGCGTGGAGCGTTATGTATAGGTTTAGTCACTTATGGCCTCAAAGGCTTCCTTAGCCAATAGGTTATTGGGCTGGACAAAGGACTGTAGATTACCGAAAATTGCTGGGAAAACACAGATTTCAACAAAGCATCCGAAAACACATCATTCCTGTTTTAGCTACCGTTTTCGAAAAGACTACCATGTTCATACCTAGCAATTACCAAGAATTTCCATTACTAGTTGAAACAGTCAGTATAAAATGAAAATGACAACCGATACAGTTAGGATTTTCCATCCCTTATTGAGGAATACTGATTACACACATTTATATTAAGAGGAATAAAACTTATAGAGACGAGATAGATAACAAGAGAAAGGAGAGGGAATAAAAGGAAAAAGGGAAGGAAGAAAAAAAAAGAGGAGAAAACAAGAAAAAAAACAGGGGAAGCTTAAGCCTAATCTCACGACATCGATCGAGCAGGCCACCTAAAGGTCCAGGCTAGCAGCGCCGGCGACAAAGACCAAGCAAGCTTCCAAAGGGCGGCTTCCTATGCCATTGCCGTGACCACTTCGGGCCGAGTTTGATTGCATTGATTGAAGATCGGGTTGTACCTCTCCTTCCAAATGGACCAAGTCCTAAGGGTCACCATCATGTCGAAGCCTCGATGCTGTTCCTTTCGGACCTTGAGGTGGCTAGAGCACAACCAATCGTGAAAAGAGGAGACACCGGTGGAGAAGTTTTCTGTTCCGTTTTCAATCCTTCTTATGCTAGTGATCAAGTGGTTCGGACCTAGTGTAATTATTCCAAAGCCATCCAACGTCCACGTTAATTAGGACTTGGGGAAGCAGTAGGGATATATATATGGACGCTTTCAATGAACGAGTACTTTTAATGAAATTTCACTTTTAAACATAAAAATGGAATTTATGTTTGAAAAAGAAAAATAATTCATTTAGTCGTACTACAATAGATCAAAAGTATTCACGGACAGGTCAGTGTGTGCACCCACCAAGGGAGTACTCCCTCCGTCTAAAAAAAGGACAAACCCTGAGTTTCCGTATCCAACGTTTGACCGTCCGTTTTATTTGAAAAAAATTATGAAAAAAATTAAAAAGACAAGTCACGCATAAAGTATTACTTTCTCCATTTCAAAATATAAGGCATAACCACCCCTAACCCAAATAACAAGAAAATAATTATTACTTCCTCCGGTTTCATTTTAATTGACGTTTTGGACAATGACACGGTCCACAAGATATATCTTTGACCTTATTTTTTCTATTATAATATATATAATAAATAAATGCATGTTTACTTTTATTATAGTGCTTTAAAAGATAAATCTATATATGTTGTTCTAGTTCCTTTAAACTAAATATTTTTAAAGTTATTGATGGTTAAAGTTATAAAAGTTTGACCTCACCCTTGTCCAAAATATCAATTAATATGAAACTGGAGGGAGTATCATCTTGTAGTTTGGATTATCCTAATAAATACAATGCATGCATCCAATAGAATTAGAGAACATGAGTATATAGGATTTAAAAAAGTAATAATTTAATGGAGAAGGGGTAATAGTTAATTGCCTACATGCATGCATGCCTTATATATGGAACATCTAGAAAAAGTGGTTGTGCCTTATATTATGTAATGGAAGGAGTAATCATGTTTTATCATCTCACAACAATAAAAATACTAATTATAAAAAAATTCATATAAAACGGACAGTTAAACGTTTGACACGGAAACCCAGGTTTATCCTTTTGGGACGAAGCGAGTATAGCTGAGACTTGCCGGTCCATTCTGGAGGCATTTGGACACTATGCTTTCATAGTCAAACAATTACGTCTGCTTGACAGATCAGAAGATTCTAACGTATATACTACATCCGTTTCTAAATATTTAACGCTATTAACTTTTTTAAATATATTTAACTATTCGTCTTATTAAAAAAATTAAGTAATTATTAATTTTTTTTCCTATCATTTGACTAATTGTTAAATATACTTTCATATATATATATATATATATATATATATATATATATATATATATATAGTTTTAGATATTTCACAAATTTTTTTAATAAGACGAACGGTAAAATATGTGCTAAAAAGTCAACGGTGTCAAACATTTAAAAACGGAGGGAGTATTTATCAGAAATTCTACCATCCACCGAGGTATTTTTACTTAGATCCACTTATAGCATGACACTGATATTTTACTTATATTAAAAAACGGATGGAGTACTTATATTTTTACTAATTTTTTACTTACATTGATGTATCAGTGTCATGCTATAGGTGGATCTAATTTTTTTTATAACTTTTATCTACCTAAATCAAACAGTTGAGATAATTGTTAGTAAAAATTTAATAAGAAAGAATTAATACGTGTAGCAGTGCTCTAAATAATATTATATCTTTCTTTGTAGAAGCATGGATACCAATAGAAGTATCTAATAGCTTAAGGTGTAAATACACCTGTACCTTATTTAATACTAGCCATTCATCCATTTCGCTTTTCCAATCCCACCTCACTTTCATCTAGTTAAATCAAACGGTTGAGAAATTTGTTAGTAAGACTTTTGTAAGAAAATTTTAGTATGTATAGCAGTGCTCTTCGCCAAACACAACCTAAAAATTCTTTCCTTCTTTCACCAAGCTTCCATGCATCCGGGCGAGCCGCCCAACTTGATCGGAGTCAAGTGGCCGAGTCGCCGCTATAAATTTCGGCAGCCACCAAAACATAGCCGCCATGCGCCGCGTCCACAGCTCGATCGCTAGCCCTACTCGCTAGCTAGATCGGCGGCCATGGTGAACGGCTACTTGTTCCGGGAGTACATCGGCGCGCAGTTCACCGGCGTGCGCTTCTCCGACGTGCCCGTCAACCCGGGCCTCAGCTTCCACTTCATCCTCGCCTTCGCCATCGACTACTTCATGGCGACGCAGTCCTCCAAGCCGGCGCCAGCCAACGGCGTGTTCGCCCCGTACTGGGACACGGCCAACCTGTCCCCGGCCGCCGTCGCCGCGGCCAAGGCGGCGCACCCCAACCTCAGCGTCATCCTCGCCCTCGGCGGCGACACCGTCCAGAACACCGGCGTCAACGCCACGTTCGCGCCGACGTCGTCCGTCGACGCGTGGGTGCGCAACGCCGCCGACTCCGTCTCCGGCCTCATCGACGCCTACGGCCTCGACGGCGTCGACGTCGACTACGAGCACTTCGCCGCCGGCGTGGACACGTTCGTGGAGTGCATCGGTCGCCTCCTCACCGAGCTCAAGGCGCGGCACCCGAACATCGCCACCTCCATCGCGCCGTTCGAGCACCCCGTGGTGCAGCGCTACTACCAGCCGCTGTGGCGGCGCTACGCCGGCGTGATCGACTACGTCAACTTCCAGTTCTACGGCTACGGCGCCAACACCGACGTGGCGACGTACGTGATGTTCTACGACGAGCAGGCGGCGAACTACCCCGGCAGCAAGCTGCTCGCCAGCTTCAAGACCGGGAACGTCACCGGGCTGCTCTCGCCGGAGCAGGGGATCGCCGGCGCGAAGGAGTTGCAGCGGCAGGGGAAGCTGCCGGGGTTGTTCATCTGGTCAGCGGATAGCTCCATGGTCAGCAGCTACAAGTTTGAGTACGAGACCAAGGCTCAGGAGATCGTCGCCAACCACTGATCGTCCATCGAACGGTCGTGATAATACTTATGAAATAAGAGCAAATAAATTGCGAAATAATGGTCGTATTATATATCGAGCGTCATTATGCACGACTTACGTGCTAAATAAGAAATGGACTTATGTGCCGATTGGTAATCGGCGATATATGGATGTCAGATTTTCAAACCGGCACCTAGTAAACGGTGTCGGTTTAGAAACAGGTACCTTTATAAGATTCCTAGGATGAAAAAAAAGGAGGCTCGTTGCATCGGTTCACTGAGCGCATCCACCCTGCGTCATCCCTAAGCCTTGCCCTTCGAAATCAATCCAACGAACTTCCAACAATCAGCATCATCGCCATTACAGATCACAAGTCATAAAATCGATACAACAACAACAACAACATCTAAAAACAAAAATGAAAGGAGAACAACAACATTATCATCATTGAAAGGATCCGCCGCGGGAGAAGCCGCCGTTGAAGGATCTGCCGCGAGAAAAGTTGCCGCCACCGGATCCACCATGAAAGAAGCCAGTGGGGAGGGGCGGCGCTGTTCTTGCCGCTCCCAAGCACCGGTGTGAAGGGGGCCCCTCGCGCCGAATAAATAAGAGCCCGTGGATAGAGCAAGCGACAAAATAAGAAGATTGCAAGTGGAACCGTCGAATAAAATGGAAAAAGAATTGGAACGTTCGCAACTTAATCAATGGTAGTCAAAGAGATATAGGTCAGGCTTCAGCTATCACTCCCTGCAGAAGAACTATATATATTTCCTTCTTATCATCTGCTGAAATCGAATTTTGCAATGCCGAAATCCAATTTAATGTTACGTCACTTCGTTTTACATTTCTCTTGACACCGAAGTTCATTTTCAAGGATACATTGTACTGTATTCCGTGAAAAAGGAAATTCAGGCAATTGATTTATTCGGCGATTTCACATGCACACAATTCACTCCCTCACACTCACAACCGGAATTGAAGCTTTTTTTTTTTTATCATGACAATACGATAGAGCTCCAGGATAGAATCAAGACAAGATCTTCGTTGGTCTGTGACTCCGACTCCGTATAAACAGGAGCGGATATAGAACGAAATGAAGAAGGGTGCCACTTGTTTAATTTACTTTACTTTAGGTCGAGTTTAAGCTGATGCCAGTGTCTAAGTTTGTATTAGGGGATACACACATGGTGGAAACAGGTGGTGTGTAGCTAAAATGTTTTCTTGATCAGGTTCCTGGGCACCCCTCTACTATAGCTCTGCCCCTGCGTATGAATCCTTCTCCTATATGAAATGATCAAACACTGAACTGACAGTTCAGGCAGCTTTTACTGCGAGAGGCAAAATGTATGGTAACTGCTTCATTTCACAAACGAAAAAAAGGTTTAGAAATATACCATTTTATCACCGGTTTTATAGGAATATACACGTTTCGAAGGGATTGGCAGAAGTAGACCGTTTCGTGACGTGTGTTTGTGATATCTGCACGAGTTCGCATGTTGTTGACCAAGATTGAGAAAGCGCGAACCTGATGCCTAGCAGTGACAAACAAGCTCCAATGAGGAGGTGGGTGAAGGCATCGCTTACCGCTAAGGGTGCAAACGGACAGGCCCGTTAACCCACTTGTACTACAATTAAGCTGGTAACCTGACGTGTTACCTGTTTATTTGTACTATAAGTGAATTGGTGGGTCTGCCTGTTTGCACCAGTTACTGCCGTGGCCGAGCATGTTCCTCATGGTGAGGAAGAAACCATCTTTGATGCAGGAGAACACAGTACCGCACGCTAGCCGCAGCAACAAGTCTCTCTACCTAGTCCATTCTAACCCTTTTTCAAGAGGTCCATCCAAACCCAACCCAACCCAACCTAACCCATTTTCTTCTGATGGCGTATAAGGTCCTAATATTTCGATCGGCCCATTAGATTTAGCATCCCGTTCAGCATATGGTGGCCAACGGACACTCGTCGCCGTCATCGCCGCGGCCGCTGGACGCCGACGCTGACATGGAAGTGGTCCTCGAGCTCACCGGCGTGGGCCCAGGCGGCGACGAGGTGAGCGAGGATGCACACGGTGGTGGGGGTGGAGCCGCGGATGCAGAGGCGACGGAAGCGGCGGACGGCGGTCGACGTCGAGCATCTGGAGGCGGAGGCGCGTCGTGCCACTCTTGGATCTCGGCCACCACGCCGAGCACCTCGTCGCGGCCATCTAGATCGTGTGTTGCAGGAGTTGTGGAGTTCTTGCAAAGGCTGTCGATGACGGAAGTGCGGGTGCGATCGGTAGAGGCGGTGCGCCGGTAGCCTCCTTTGCGGCGGTTGCGCCGCCGCCGCTGCCATGGCCGGGGCAGGGCTTCCCTCTTCTGCGTCGGTGGCCCCTCCGATGCATCGCTCTGAGCTGGCCAATGGGGCCCAGCCTCCTTCGTCGTCGCCTCGCACCATGCCGCCGCAACCATCCTTCCCCTTCCCCTCCTCCGCCTCCCCCACCTCACCGACAACGACGACCATCTCCTCTTTTGTAACGCTCCGCTTTTCGTGAGGCGTTAAAAACTATTTCGGCAAAATCCTAATTTCAAAAATTTCGTTCTTTGAGTGAGAGTCTAAGTCGTGCCATGGATCTCAATTCAATCTCCATCTTTGTTCCCTCTCATCGCCATCAAAATCGCCCACCTCAAGATTCCAATTCCGACTCAAGTCTCCGAAATCAAACTCCGAAATTCAATCGCATCCTTTGAATCCCCACCAAATACTTGTCCTAATTCCACAAATATCCGAGTCCACCTCGAATCCATTCCTTGATTCCTCCCTGAACCCTCGAGTTCGGATATCAAATTTGAATCCAAATCCAAACTCCAATTCTCTCCAAATCAGCCTCCTCTGTGAAAGTCTAAATCGCCTTCCTCAAGTTTTGTGGGCCGATCATGTTCCCCTCGGCCCATCTCCCCTCTGCCTATCTCCTCCTTCCTCCTCGCACGTGCTGTGCATGTGTGCCGCCCGAGAGAGCGTCGTCTCTCTTCCTCTCTCTCTCGCCAGTCGACCACCGCCGCCTTGCCGATTCCCGCCGCCGGGGTTTGAACCTTCCCGCCGCCGCCATTTGATTTTCGCCGCCGCCCATCGGTTTCCCACGTGCGCGCGCTCGCTCGTGGCCAGCCGCTCGGTCGCCGCCGCGTCAGCCCTGACGCCGCCCGTGACCGCGTGCCGCCCGGCCCCGCCCGCTTTTGCCGCCACCACCGCCATCATCCCAAGCCGCTCCACACTGCTAACCACCAAAAAGACGGGAGCCAGAGCTTGCGCCTCTGCTTCCTCCCTCACCCAAAGCGGCAAGGGACCAAGTCCCCTTCCCCCTCTCCTTTTTTCCTTTTTCCCTTCCCAGACCGGCGCCCTACCTCTGTCGCTTGCGCCGCGGTCAGAGCGCCGCTGACGCTGCCGCAGCAGCTCGACGCCCCACCTTGACCACGCACTAGCTCGCCGCATTGCCCCTCGCGCTCCCTTGATTCAAGTCACGCCGTCCGATCCACCGCCTTCGCCGCTCTTTGCATCCTCGTCGTCCGCCGCTCTTGCGTCGCCCGTGACCGCCAGCCGAGCGCTCGACTGCCAAGTCGGTTTCCACCTCCCCAAACCGACCTCGCCTCCGCTATAAAAACCCAAGCCCCTCCCATCGAATCCTCCTCTCGTTTCACTTCCATCACCGCCGCGCCATTGTTGCTGCTCGCCCCGCTCTCGCCGTCGCCGTCCGCCGCCGAGCACCGGAGGAGCCGGTGCGTGCGTGGACGCGTGACGGGGAGCTCCGGGCTGCCCCATCGCCACCTCTCCCTCCCTCCTTCCCCGGCCGCGCACCCTCGGTGCCGCGCCGCCCCGCCGTCGCGTCCACCTCGCCGCGACTCCATCCGCGCCGCCGACGCTGTTTCTCTCGTCGGTGAGCTCCCCACCGAACCACTTCCCCCTGTCGCACGCCGCGCCATGCCGCCGCCGTTCGCCACAGCTCGCCGCGCGCCCTCGCCATGTCCCGGGCATCACTCGCCGTCGCCATGATCCCCTAGGCTAGCTCGTCGCCGCCCGTTGCTTGAAACGAGTTCCCGGAGCCGTGTAGAAGCTCCTTCCCCGGTGAATTGGACTCCCGTTGCCCCGGCGAGTTTTCCCCTTTTCTCCGCCGGCGATGGCTGCCGCCGCAATCCACCGCCGTCGGCCCTTCTCTCGCCGATTCCTTGCGCCGCGACCCTCCCCGTGTCCCCTTGAACCTTCCCAGGCTGCCGCCCCAGTCGCCGGCCTCCCAACCCGCTCCCGCGCCATGCCGCCCCTTCCGCCGCCGCATAGCGCCGCCGCCGAGTTCAAACGCGGCGACCATCGGGTCCCGCTTCACCGCGTGCGCGTCGCAACACCATACCGGTTCGGCTAAGCCCGAGCCCGCGCGCCCTTCGCTCTTCTCGCGCGCGGCCACGTCGGCGTGCTGGCGAGATTGGCCGCCGCCGCCGGCCGTCGTTGCGCGACGTCTTCCCGATCCGAGCCGTGGAATGAGTTCCCCTTCTCCTCCTCCTGCCTCCGGTGCCCGCCGCCCACTCCGGTTCGCCGCCGTTCGCCGGCGCCTCTCGGCCGCCGTGAGCCATCCGATCCGGGCGAGCTCGGCCTCCCTCTCTCGCGCTTGCGTGGCAGCCACCTCAGCCGTCGGCCCCGCTTGACCGGGTCAAGCCGGCACCCAGTCAGCTGCCCTACTCCTCCCCCCCAACCCCTCTCTCTCTCTCCGCACGCCTCTTGGGCCGCCTCCTTGTGCCCACACCGGCCAAATGGCTCGGCCGAGCCTCCTTCAACCCTTTGGGCCGCACCAATGCCACCCGAAACAAGTCTAATATACATCCCTCCTTGATTTCCTTTCCAAAAAGGATTTAATAGATCCTTTTTCCCTTGTTCCACAAATCAATTCCTTATTCCAAAATTCTATGAATCATTTTTCCTTGGTCCTGCTTGTCAGTGAAATTCAATAATATTCTTGAGAATATTATTTCTATAAATTCCATAGACCATTTCTCGTATTCCGGAAAATTCCGATAAATCTTTTCCTCGTCCAGAAAATCAAGTTAAGCTTCCAAAATTCATATCTCCTGATCTGTAACTCCGATTGACTCCGTTCCACTTCCAGTAATTCTCTAAAGTTGAGATCTATTTAATGGCACTAATAATTAGGCTAAATAGGATCTTTCTTTTGGGTCTTGTGTAGGTTTTCGATTGTTTGCGTATAGTTGCGGTTACCGGATTTTCGTCGATTGCGGGTTTTCTCAAAGATTTGTGAA